TAACGTATAGATTTTTTTCCTATTGTTCCTCTCCTCTTGAGAGGGAGGATAGTACTTATTCCCCACAGCTGATGATCTCTGAATCTAATCATCCATAGCTTCTGAACTCCCAAAGGTGTGATACGAATGCATCATAGCAAGTCCAGATGTGTTTGCAGCAACAGGGTGCCACCCAAATGCACTCCTGAGTAAGGCTTACACTTCAAAACAGTTTTATAATTTAAATATGTATTTTTTGATAATATAAGAGGGATCACTTTAAGGCCAGTTAAACAGACCTAGTTTCAGGTAGTACAAGAGTCAACAGTAGCCACATTTAGGTTGTGGCTAAATGTCCACAACCTCTATCGTTAGTCTCAAGAAGAGAGAGATCGCAGATGAAAGGAGGGATCACTAAATTGACAAGGCAGACCAATGCAGTAGCTCTTATAGCTGGCAAATGTGAAGCCACAAGAATGTTTATAGCTACCTTCTTCCAGTAATGCCAGTATTCTGTTGTATATAAAACAAAACCCCTTCTGTAAAATACTAGTCTTTAAAAGCAAGTGAAAGAGGCAACAGAAAGAACAATCCTCTCATCACATGAATCAACCCTGACATCTATTTTAAACATACTTCAAATCAAATTTAGTTCCAACTGTACCTTAATACAACTTAGCAAACCTCCCAACATAAAGCACGCTTGTTTTTAAAAACATTTCTGAGTTTTGGGGGGATATATATATATTTTTTTATATAATATATATTATATATCATTCTCTACAACACTTTGTGTCATATCACTTGTAATCTCCCATGCTGTGTTACTTGGTATAGTTTGTGATCATCAAACATGAGTACATTAAAAACAGTCCAATTTTCATTTGTCATCTGCTATTCTCCCCCACCGCAATCCTCTTCCAGTAAGGAAATATGAAAATATAATAACCATCCCAATTTTTCAAGGGCTCCAGGATTTAAATTTACCACCTTAGCATACAGCAAAATGTTACTGCTAGACCAGCAAAGCACAGTCTATACAAATATCACTACAATATAGCATTAAAGTTTGTTTGTTTTTTAAAAGAGTAACATTTTCTAAAACAAAAGAAACCTGGTTTCCACAAAACAGAACAAAGGGGTTTCTCACCTTATCTTCTTACCTTCAGTAACCTTGGTGTTACTGAAGTACCCAAGTTAGCTGCATAAGATTTCAAATGAATCTAGTTCCTAAAGCATAATAACCATTTCAACTGAAGTTATCAGCCAAATAATTATTCATATAGGTTTTTACTGCAATAGGCAGACCCTCACCCTTGCAAGAGGAAATGAAGCCAAAAGCAATTCAACATATATGAACAAAGTACAGTCCTTCAGATTTTACCCTTTTTCCTATTTTAAATCAACTTGGTTTACCTTATCACAAAAGTCAGTAAGAGCTGTGAAGTCCCATTTCTTGGCATAAGCAACATTGTATCTTAGTATAGCCTCCTAAGGAAGAAACACAGCAAAATGAAGCTTTGAGACACAGAAGAAAAATGATTTATGAAATTTCCTTTTTGAAGGAATAGCACCATCTAGTGGCTAAAACCTGTCACAGAGCCTACCAAAACCCATGCAACTGTAATAATACGGCACAGCCCCACACTAATAAATCCCGTATTTTAAGCTCAGTAGTGAAAAGGCTATGGTCTACATTTTTTTTCCTCCTAGTGCAAAACAAGACAAGGCTTCCTTGGATCTACCTACAACACACAGCATTAATATCCCCCCACACACCCCCAATGTCTTTAAAAAATGGAGAGAGAAGGAGGAGAAAAAGAAAAAGAAAACAAAACAAAACACAGCAAGCATCCCTCCGCAATGTGGCACAAGTTTTACCAGTTTAAGAACCTAAAGAACTGGAAAAAACAAAATTAACTTGGCCCTTCTACAACAAGAACCAGCTTAAAGAATTCTCAAAAAAAATATAATACCAAATAAAATAATATTATCAAAGGAAGTTTGATTAGTTGCTGGGGGGAGGAGGGAAAAGGAGAGGGAAGAACCACTAATAGTTCCTCTAAAGTGTCTGTAGCTTCCCCATCCTCCTCCTTCCTTGCCTTTCAGGTATAATCTAAATTGCATTATTCTTCGTAAAACCGTTAAGATCAATTTTAAGCTGCTCCAAATCACAGTTCATTAATTCCTGGTAGAAAAGTCAAGAGTTGTGAAGAATTATCAGCGTTATCAACAGATTATTAGCCTCAAAATTTAACATTTTTTTTTTCTAGCAGCTTGAATTTCAATTCAATTTCAAATTTAGTGACATACACTGGTGTGAACTGCTCTTGTGTCAGATTCACTCAGGTGAGGCTAACCTTATTTTCACCTATCTCCCTGCAATTCTTTTCGTAGAAAAAGTCTAGATGCTACTTTTACCACAATCTAGCCGTTACTGCTGGACAAACGGAGTTTTGCATAGACTTATAAAATACAGCTTATTTTAATAATACCAAAGAAATTCAGTGGCAACGCTTAAGATAGTCTGAACTTTGGCTTTTTTGCCTAAACACCACTGTGTGCAAACACTGCATATACTGTACTTCCAACTAGTCTAAGCAGCCTGGTAACGAGACAATGCATCAAGCAGGCCATGGAAACTAAAATACAGTTCTCTCACCTATTACAGCAATATTAGTCTCTTTTCACTGAATAAAAGTGATACTTCTTGGTAGCTTGTCAGAGATGGATTGTAAGAATCAAGTATTAGTATCTGATACTGACATCAGCGTCAAGATTTCAGCAAGAAATATGTTAACAGTTCACCTGACTGAGAAAGATTTAGAATTCCTTTAATGTGAGTTTGCAAATACTCGTCCAATAACCACCTCTGTTTCAGGTTTCCAGCGGAAACCTCTAAGATATTCTAAAAGCCCCACTACTCGCCAGCGCGGAGCAGGTTAGCATGCTGACATTGCCATCTGCATAGCCAGCAGGAACATTAAAACTATATCTCTCCTGATGTAAAAAGTGACCAGCAGAAGGAAATCTAACATGCAGACCTGGAACTGAGGGCAGCTTCAGAACAGTCCCGTTTTTGTGACCTTCTGGCCACTTAGAAAAAACAGTTAGTTGATGGTTTGATAAAAGTTTTGTAAACTCCACAACAGAAGAAAGTAGTTTCTCTATGCAACTGACTACTGAATGATTTCCAATTAAAATCATTTTATGATTGCATTATTTATTTTACTACTACTGTGTGTGAACTTTGAGCAGTTATTTTTCAAACCTAAGAAATAAACCGCTCTGTCTGCCTATGAAGCTACTCCAAATTAGACTAATCAGAAAATGGGAAAGTAAGTAAAAGGAGGACAATAGATTTCCCCTCCCTTCCAAAAAAACCTCACCCACCACACGAAAAGTACTATCTTTAATCCTTCTAATTCTTTTAACTAACTAGAGTATCCTAAGTTAGGAGAAAACAGATTCCATACTCAAGCTCCACAAGTCTCCCTTTTTAAATTTAGTTTTAAAAATATAGCTTAAAAAAATTAAATACAAGACCAAATAAGGCTGTTCAGCAGCTATTGTATTTATAGTGGCAGAACAGCAGAGTTCTTAACAAATGTAAGCCCCTTTAAATTGCACTATCGGAGATGCTCGCCATAACCAGAAGAGATTACTGGGAGAAAACCAGAATGTTCCCCACCTCCCTTGTCCAATGAATCTGTAGAATTCATTAGGGGATTTCTTGAATAGCACAGATTTTAAATGATTAAACGAATAGGACTGAGCTAAACTCATTGACAGCATCACATGAAAAGCCTGAAAGTATTTCTAATCTATATATGTATATAGACTTGATTTCAATCTGATAAACTTACCTTCAAATCATGTGAGCAGGTAAATTTGTTAAGTAAGGCAGTTTGGATTAGCTCCCATCGACTTCCAGCAGTTCTATCCCCATTCTTCAAAACAAAAGCCCCGAAAAAGTCAGATGAAAACATTCAAGAACGGAAAGGCATATTTAGTGCTAACTGTCTTCCAGTCACAAAATTTTAGAAGAGTAATTTTATTTGTGAGGTTACTTAAAAATAAGTGATGCACTTGGAGCAACTATAAAGCACTTTCTGCAACTTTTAGGTCGCTGCATTTTACTTTCTTAGAGTTCCTTTTTAATTGAAGTACTCGCAAAAGTTATAGATTTTTTTTTCACGTAAGCAACACTATTCCTCACGCTGAACGAAGAAAGTGGATTTTGCACATAAAACATTACCACAGTTTATAAAATCCACAATTTGGAATATAAATTGAACTAACTTTATAAAAATGTAATATTAAGAAAATTAAGGTTACAGACTATAAAAGTAGATTGTTATGGCTCACTCTTCCACCAACCCAATTTAAAACATTCTGTAATATTTTTGCCTCAACAGGAAGTCTTAATGCCTGTTCCAAGCAATTACATGACATTTACGAGACTACTACCAGGCAGGTACAACTCATCTTGCTCAATTGGCAAAGATCTTATCAACCTTTTATCGTTGAAAGAACAATTAAATTCATTTTATACTGCATCTCTAAAGCTGATAAATGAAAAAGCTAGAGGGTAGTTCCTAGAGGTTATAAGAATCTCCATTGCAGCTTCAAGCATCAACAGCAATACAGTCTTCACCACAGGACATGTGTTCACTTTAATCACTGCCCTTTAAGGTGTTTCAGCAGGTATGCTTAAATAAATCTCAAGTCATTTCAAGAAACACCTGATCAACAAATCATGCAAGGGCAACTCTTGAATCTTTCCGCCATCATTTCAGCAGAACTGCAGAGGGAGATATATTTCAATCAATGAGTAACACCTGACAAAATATTATAGCCAGAATTTGGTTACAATTTAATTCATATTTGTGGTCATCCCAAATTGCTTTACCAATAAAACCTTCCTCTGTCCTCTACAATCACGCAAATGGCTAGATAAAATAATTACTAGGAAGAAAAAAAAAAACAAACTTCCCCTCTATCGAAGCATCATTTCTCAGAATTCAGCTTTTCAGACCAGATATGTACACCTCCTAGATCTTCCAGTCCCAAACACACAATTTACCAACTGAGCATAAGTGAAAACAGAAAAACTGAAAACTCTATTATATAGGCAAACAGATAAACACACCCATTTTATTGCACAACTGTAAGTATTTTTATCTTACCTCATCCTCTATGGGGTACAAATTTTGTTCTGAGCAGGGCATTTTAACATGTTTGTTGTCCCACAAATCTTTGTAGTGAGTTGGAAAAGGTTTAGGTACCTCTCCTTCCCTCAAAAGGTCTACCTACAACCCAGCAGAAGGGAGAAAAAAGTTCAAGCTTCACTTTGAAAATTCTATATGAAACAAAGAAACAGAAAGCAAAAGCATAATTAAATGAAAAGCTCTCATCTACAGTCACCCCGGAACAGCAAAAAACCTATGCAATGGATTTTTCATCTCTTTAAATCCAGAGTAACATATGCCACAACTTAAACCAAAAATGAATACTCATTGAGGTTACTGATAGGAATTCCATGCGTTAAGACAGGAGGTAAGAACTACAGAACTGTACAGATACCCTCAAGTCTTAAACCTGGTGAAAAGAATATCTTAACATTTGACCTCTTAATGTGCACCAAAATAAAGGCAATATGTGCAAGTATTTTAATGTCTAATTATCAGCTAAAGATATCCTCATTCATAAAGTTAAGTAGCCACTTAACTGAAATATTTTCATCAAAATATTGTTTGACACATAACCATAGCCTAGCACATAAATAACATCTCTTAAGCTAATAATGAGCAGGATAAGTCATTATAGATTATAGCAACAGTTTAAATTTACGCCACAGAGTATAAGGAAATAGAAAAATAAATAACGCAACGTTCTTAAAGACCTAATCTGTTACATGGCTTTCTGGCAGCACTGATTTCCTTCATATTTGCATTTCTTTCAACTTACTGTGCTTTGCTTTTGTTTGGGATTTGTCCAGGACCCTGCAAGTTTCTGGGCACACATTTTATTTCAACAATTATTTGACTACATATTACTCCAAAGGAATAGAGACATATATGTGAGATTTGATCTAAAATTCACTGCTAAAATTGCTACCGAATCCTTTTCGTTCGTAGTCTTTTTCATATCTTGAACCCATTTTGTATCTTGAATCCAAGAGAGAGACATATTAAAAATAGAGCATGTTTAAGTACAAATTTTACTTGCAGACATATTTAAAGTCCCATAGCTTACAAATCAGATCAGGAAGCACATATATACCTGCGCAAAGGAAAAATACTTCTCCCTAGCAGGCCAGAGGCAGTAAAACCATAATTACATTTCTTCTGGATCTTAATATCCTAATTCTGCGCACCAGAAGACAAGTGAACTTTCAGGAAAATCAGATGCCCCACTCCAATAGCAAGGAGTGGCAAAGAAAGATTTCTGCAACCTGCTAATGCTGTAAACTAACGCACGGCAAGACTGTATTAATTTATTATTGAATATCAGCTCAGTAAGAAATTTTTGCTTTCAGGGAATACACTGAATAATCATACTCTGACGGTTACTGTGTGATTAGCTGAGGGTCGTAGATGAGGAAGACGGGCCCCACACAAAGGCATTCTTCTCATCTCTTCAATTGGTGTGCCAAACCATTTCTTATTGGTTGGAAGAGGAGGTGGCATATATTTAGGAATCTTCCTTCCTGGCCTCTGGGGCTTGAACTCACACTTTTCTTTCCTGCTGTTAAAATATAAACATAATTAAACATTTCATTTCTACTGAAAAACTTGGTAGGTAAATACATGGAATTTCCACTTCAGGGTTCAGTGAAAATCCACAGCAAATGCATACAAACAGCCTAACAAACAAGTCTGTCTGGTACAGAGAGGAGAGACTTTTGTTACACACGGGCACAGAAAAAGCAGATCTCCTCCTCCGCCTCTTAAATTTGTAAATCCTGTAACCAAAAGAAGGCTTACAATGGAAATCAACCTTGGATTGAAGTAGAAGGTTTAGCAATAGAATTATGCAGTAATGACATCAAGAATCTGTGAAAGCTATTGAAAATTTTACACTGTCAAAGAGAATATGTCAAATTTTCATGAAAACATTTTCAGAGCTAAGTATATAATCCACACAATGCTTTTTTTTTTTTTTAAATATCCTTTTTTGTTCCTCGTGTTTGCTCTCATATTAGAAAATATAAGTACTGGGATGGCCTCTTAACCTTCGCTATGTTTCTAGATAAGACTGCTTTTATGTTACAGTATGATGTTTGGATGCAACTTTTTCAAACGTGCGCTAAGCT